ATTAAGACCCAACAAAGTTACAGAAGATGCAGTAATAAGCTATATCTGAGTATCTGACAGGCCACACTTACAATCTTTTTTATAGGAACTATCATTTCCAAATTAAAATACTTCATAATCTACCACTAACTAGGCATAGATCCAAAGAAAAAAAAAAAAATCCTAAGCAGTTAAAATTATTTTTTAATCTTAAGTCGTGACTATCAGAAAGAAAATGCCACCACATCTTAAATGTGGTCTTAAGTCACTTCAGAAATTTAAGAGACGATACAAACTGAATTAAGATGTAACCTAAATACTTAATGTAAGGTATAAGAAAACTAATTAATGACACCAATGTAGAGAAATCTTAACAAGAGTGGTGAAACATAATTCTGGAGAAGAGGAATTCGTGCAGCACTTAAAACTGTTTTCCTCTGCTACTCAAAGGACAGAAATAGCTGAAAAAAACAGAATGAAAAATTATTTTAAGCAGAAAGTTGCTCCTCCCTCTCACCTATCAAACACACAGAACTGCTATCAAATTAGACTTTGAAAAATTTATTCCAGAAAAGAATCATGAAACAACTTAATGAATTTTCTTATATTTGACATTTGCGTGTAGTCCTTAGAGCAATTTTAAATATCTCTCTAGTGGCATACAGGCAGCCTGAAACATTAACAAAGGATGTTAACCAACAGGATCATAAGAAGGTATCTGCTGATCAAATTTCTATCACCTACAAGCAAACAACTGCATGGACAATAAAAACTAGCAGTGAAGCTGACTGCCTTTAGATAGTTACCTTTTCAAAGTGATGAATTGCAAGCCAAATTTCTCCTTGGGCATTGAAAACACAGCCAAGATTACTCCAGGCCACTGCAAAGTTTGGTTGAGTCTCAATTGCTTTTAAGTAACAGGCCTTGGAACAGTTAAAGAAGAAAGATACAAGGGAAGGGGGATATTTGTAAAAAGAAAGAAAAAAAAAAAAAAAAAGAAAAGAAAAATAAAAAAATGAGAAAAAAAGTTTGTTAGTATGCCTCCTCTAACCAGCCAAAAGTGACCCTGCAGTATAGGCTAGCTTGCGCCAAAACTAATGCGCTGCAAACTGCTGTTGATCCTGCGCCAGCGCCAACCAAAACCCAGGTGCAAGCCCACCATTTTTCAGTTATGCTGCTAAAAAATTAACATGCCTTTCGAAACCAGGTCACCACAGGAATCATCTTAGAAACAATTAAAGTAGCTCAGCGCAAGTATCTGCCACCTTTAAGTGTATAAAATCAAAATCCCTACTGCGTAAAAACAACTTTGCTGTGAAATACTCTAAACCAGAGAAAAATTACTTTAAAAAAATAAAAATGAAAAACTATTGAAAAAGATTCTTCAAACTGTCCTTGTCAAGTGAGCTGATACACCCAACGGGTATCTTGTTTCACAACTTCTTCACATAAATTCCATCATCTGCAGCTTCAAAACCTCAAATGACAGGATTGCATGAAGGTTTAGGTCCCTGTAATGCAAGCGCAAGAAATCGCTGCGCATCCTAAACCGCACGGCGCCACGCTATCGCTGCAAACTGCTTTGCTAGATTGATTGCCCCTAGGACCAGTGAACGGCCAACCAGAATCATTAATCTACCAGACAGGCCCACACAGAAACTCGCATGTTAAATTTGATGTCTGGACTCTAAAATGCATTACAACCCAATTTTATCCAAAAGGCTACAGCCTGGAGCTTGGGCAGTCACCCAATCAGAGATTAATCATCTAGTCAACCGTTCACGAGGGCTTAATCGCACGCAATGCGCGTTACCGCTGCGCAGCCTTTGCGCTACTGCAGGATCACAGCGCATCATCAGAAGAGCAGAACGCTGCAATCCAAACAAAGAAGAAAAAAAGGAAAAAAATGAACAACCAGAAGAGTTAGAAGCTTTTACTATTAACTATCTCCAATTATTTCTTTTAAAAAAAAAAAAAAAAAAGAAAAAAAAAAAGAAAAGAAAAGAAAAAAATTTACTTTTACTTTATTTCTTTGAAAGAATTTGTGGCTACTAGTATAAAATATTCTTACATTACTTGCTTGTAATTAAATATTTTAAGCTGTTTCTGAAGCCACAAGACAGAAGATTCAGGCATGGAGGCAAATGGTTTTGCTGTGGCAGTTACAAACCCGTTACCATATTTCTCATCATGTGACTTTTCGGTGCGTTCCTTGCTGGAAGAGGAGGAGGAGGTGTGTGTCTGCCCTAGATCCAGGCCTCGAGCTCCCTTCAGCGAGGCACCTTACGCATGGAATAGGAGGTTTCACCCACCTGAAACCTTCTAAATACAATATCAGTGGTGAAAAACCAAAAACAAGAGAGAAAATAAAACAAGATCATTAGTAAGAGTTCAACAAAGCAATTGCATTTTTTTTTGGACATGTCTTAACACATAGGAATGAGGACAATCTGTGTGTAACAGGGGAGACATGCAGACAGGAGAGGGTTAATCAGGGCAACTGCATACAGCGGGACTCTTTTTTTTTTTTTTTTTTTTGGAAGAAAGGCTCTGAAATATCTACAAAGAGATTAAATTTTAGTTCAAACTGTAAGGAATCTGCTGGCTTGATCTTTCAAATGGACTGATAACCAAAGAAACACATTGCAATTTACTCAAGATGTTTTTCCTCATTTATTAGGTTCTCACAAAACGGAATAACACTTTCAAACTAGGTTGTCTCCAGAGCTCTGAAACAAAGAAGTCAGCAACCTAAGGCAGGCGCAGTGTCTTGGCCTATACCAGTCACACTAAAGCTGCAGTGAAGTGCAATTCATGTTAGCTGTCCGCTTGGTGGGCGGACCAAGTGTCTCCAAGACTGTTCAAACTCTAAATGCTGCTACAAAATATTTTCAACCTGGATCCGACCAAATTAATCAGGCTGCCCTAGGATGGTACACACATCCAAGCTGTGATGAGAAACCAAAAAAAACAGTGAACTTTGAACCTGCACTCCCATTACCCCACAAAGATCATAACCCCCCCCCCAAATGGTGCTGCAGCCAAACAGACAGCTACGCTGTTCATACACTCCACTTTTTAGCATGCGCGTGGGGCTTGGAGTGACAGATGTGGAGTCCAGAGTGTTTCTGATTTCTCCACGCTCCTCACCCCTGCAGCGCGGACGCGTAAGGTGGCTTGTAACAAGACAATTTCTTTGTGCAACCCAAGTTTTAACATGCCAAGAATTTTAAACTCATCTTGGTGTTCAAATTCTCAGTTTAGGAAACATAAGACTGCTAGAAGCCACCTTTCCACTACAGCAAGTTTTCTTTCGATCAGTTCATTTCCCAAACAAACCAGCTTTGTCCTTCTGATTTCTTTATTTTGGGGTAGGGGAGAGGGAAGATGAGAAGATATTGGGGGGGTGGGGGGTGTCGCATACTGCAGCTATTGATCATTTATTAGCCTTTCTTCCACGATAAAGGGAAGGGAAAAGTTAAAAGAATAAAAATCTTTAAAAGCCAATATTACAAGGAAACATTTGGATAAGTTTCTTCTCCACTTACAAGCCACAAAGGACTTTAGAAGAGCAGCGTTTTCAATAGCACCTGCATCGTACAGGGATCTCGAGCTAACCACAGGCTCTCTGCTTGGCACCAGCAGGCAAGCCTCAGATTTGAAGGAATGTTACTGATTTCCAGATAAGAGCATGATGGAGACCCTGCCCAATACTTCAGAATGGTATCAGATAGTCTAGTTCAGCAGAAAGGCTTGGTAATGTTCCATTTCTTGACTTAAAAGTAACTTTTAAACACGGACATGCCATATCTTGCCCTGCAACTACTCTGGGGTGTTTCAGTGCCTTCGGTTTTCAGCAGTTTCTCAGACTGTCTGTAGATCAACGCAGATTTGAAGACTTGGTGCAACGTTCAAGTTTTCAAAACACTGATGTTTACATGTATTCTACCCAACACCTACCTTGGCTTCTTCCAAGCGACCCAGGGCTTTGAGCAGGTTCCCCAGGTCACTACGAACACAGTACAAGTCCTGAAAAATCAAAGTCACACTATCAGATTCAGAGCTTCAGACATCCCAAAGGTCTTCACAGAGAGCTTTCAAAGGAAACCCCCCAGTCCTCTACAGCTTATTTTAAATAAATAAATACATCACAAATGTTAATTACTTTTATTGACCTAATATTACAGCCAGCAGACCATCTTACTGATTTTAGTACTGTAACAATACAACCATAAGAAAGTAGAAAGAAGTAGGAAAGTAGTATTTCATATAATTCCTCTTCATATGGAAATAAATAGCAAGAAACAAATCCCCCTGCCACAAGCAGCTTAAGTTCTTTTGCCATACTTAAGCAGGAATCATAATATACATACAGGATACGTATGTAAGTATGAATCATAAAATCCCAGACTGGTTTGGGCTGGAAGGGACCTTAAAGCTCATCCAGTTCCAACCTCCTGCCACGGGCAGGGACACCTTCCACTAGAGCAGGTTGCTCCAAGCCCCTGTGTCCAACCTGACCTTGAACACTGCCAGGGATGGGGCAGCCACAGCTTCTCTGGGCACCCTGTGCCAGCGCCTCAGCACCCTCACAGGGAAGAGCCTCTGCCTCAGAGCTCAACTCAGTCTCCCCTCTGGCAGGTTAAAGCCATTTCCCTTGTCCTACATGTCCTTTCCAGCTTTCTTGAAGCGCCACATCCCTCCTGGGTTTTTTTTTTTTTTGCTTGTTTTTTTTTCCTTAAGTAGGACTGCAAACCTGTATTCTTAAGTTACACCATTTCCATTTTGGCTTTTAAATAGATTTTACAATGATTTTGCTTCCTGTATCCCCAAAGCAATTTTTCTCCCCTTTTTCCTCCACTAATCCATTCATTTTCAACAGCCTTGCAATGTGCTCTTGTTCTTTCATTTTTCACCACAGCACAGGTATTATCTAGCAGTAAAGACCATAGAAAATGGGGACATTTCTGTCAATGTTAACAAAAGAAGTTTCTAACCTAAACAAATCTCCTTAAGAAAACATCATCTTACAGTATTTCTAACCAGTGTATACACTCTACTACACTTAGCATAATGAATTAGACAAGTTCACCTAGCCTGAAGAACATAGACTCTGAGCTCTTGCTGGACTGGGTTTCCATTTGCTTTTCCAAAGCAAAAAGAATATATGCACACCAGACCAATGCTGCATTTTAAGTATTTTCTGGATTTGTTTTTTCTTTTTTAAACAAAATATTCGACCAAATAGCAAGCAGATACCTTCATAATGCTGAGCAGTACTACACAAATGATTTGAGTTTGATACAAAATGAAGAGAAGATAGCAGTCTGATACAGTTTACTAAAAATGTCAATTCAAAACAGTTACAACCAAAAATCCAAATACCAGATCCATTTTATGAGTCACTTATAGATAGATACTCAGTTTCAGCCTACGAAACATAAATATGATGCTTCTCTAAACCAGCTCCCAGTGGAAATCTAAGGAAGGCCACTCTCACCACCATGACATTTCTGACTGTGGAAGAATCATCATGTATTACCTTATAAGAACTCGCATTCAAGACTGAGCAGTGATTCTCTCACTGTAATAATACTGCCTTAAAGCACACAAAGCTAAATATGAGGTCATTCACTGAAGCATCTGACTTCAGGGTAGGTGGGAGGGAACTCTTGCGTTTCTGTTATTTGAACAATACAGACAAGTACACAATCAGCATCCCTTACTGTACTGCAATATAAAACTCTTTGTGACCCAAGTCTTTCAAAGATCCTTAAGAGAAGTATTACATAGATCATCAAGTTTATGGTGTACTAGTTAAAGGGAAGGTTTTTCACTTGCTTGTTCTTTGAAACCTGCTACTTGTGTGTCCTGTGACAGAAGTATAGAGTTCTTCTATAAAACTAAGTATTACTTACAGGGTTGTACTGAAGGGCAGACACATATGCCTGTACTGCTCCTTCCATATCACCTGCAGCTACCAGCGCAGCAGCCAAATTAATATATCCATCAATGAAATCTGGTTTGAGGCGTAGTGCATGTCTATAATGTTCAATTGCTTCTTGTAGTTGTCCACGTTCCTTGTACACATTGCCCAGATTTGAGTAGGCTTCGGCCAACAGTGGATTCTGTTTAATAGCCAAAGTGCTGAAGTGAGCAGACCTGGAAGAAAATTCAACAAATTAGCAAAAAAACCCAACCAAACAAAAAACCCCAAACAGATGCTCTCTACTTGCAGTGTTCGCCTGTTTACCTAGTTAGTTAATGAGCATTCATGTTTAACTGAGCCAAACATAGAGCCAACAAATCTGGCTGTACAGCGGTATCTTATGTTCAAGATCCTAGCTTAAACTATAACCTCCCCTGCTCCTACTTGAGATTCTGCCGAGGAAAAATAACTCTCATTTACAATAAGTAGGGTTCAAGTCACCCCACCAAATGTGAACCTGATGCACTTGGAGAGAACACTACAGAAATCCTGTGAAACCTCTTCCAACATTTGTACGCTCTAAGCAGTGTCCCACTCAATATTCTTTTCAAGAAGCAGGACACAGCTGACGTGTAGATGTAAAATTCCATTGAATCTTCCCCCATTTTATTTTCCCTGTATCTGAACTCTTATTACAACTTCATTCAGAAGCCTATATGAAACAAATTTCAGTCCAAAGGTCATTAGCACAAACAGATGTACAGCTAGATCAAGAGAAGTTAAAAATGTCTGAGGCACAGAAAGCAAGATCAGGAACATGCAAACAGAAAGAATATAGAGACAACTTTTAGATGACAAAAATCCTTAACTAATCATGCCATATCACAGCAAATAATCAGTCTTGCAACTTAGAAAACAAATCCATAAACCCCCACACTGCAGGTGAAATAAATAAGCCTTTATTTATACATGTAAATGCCTCCAAGTACACCCATGTGTGGCTGACACTCCAATATTAATGTGGGTAATATTAAAACAATATAAGAATAATGGCAAGATCTGTTGTTTTTTGTAAAGCTGGTCATTCTAATTTGTATTTATCTTACCCTAACAAAATTAAAAGGGAAGACCATTATTTTTAACCAGTCCTTACTGCTGCCATGAAGTTAGTCAGTATTTGCGTTCAATGATAAAAAAGGAAATCAGCGTTAGAATACAACTTTTATCAGCTATGCTCAGGACTATTAGAGGAGCAAACTATAAAGAAAGCTTGATATAACTCCTTAAGTCTCCTACCTGTCCAATCTGCGACACTGGAAGTGAATGGACGACAGTAATAAAAGAACACCAGTGTTATCGGGCTCTTGTCTCCAAAGCTGCATGCAGTGTCTCTCTGCTGCTTCAAAGTCTCCTGCCTGATACTCACGATGAGCCAACTCCGCTAACCCTTGGAAGGAAAGGATACGTTTCGTTGGTTCTGGAGAATCACCAAAACATTTAAGGGGGGAAAACAAAAAGTTAGATAACGGGAACAACAAAACAAAAAACAAACACACACAAAAAAAACAAAAGAAAACAAACAAACAAAAAAAAACCAAACAAAACCACACAACAAAAACAAACACACACACACCCTCCAGAACAATATAAAAGCACATACATAAGTGAAGGATGAAAATGTTTGAAATGACATAAAACACTACAGCACATAGCATTTTGAACTCTCAGATGTTCATGACCCAACCCTTATTTTTAACATTACCTTTTAACATCAGCTAATAATAAGAAACATGTAGACTGTAATGGCTGTGAGTACTTGCAAACATTTTCCATTTACCTCAAGTATTTTTAAAGACATTCCTGACGTTCAGGTTTGTTACAAGGAAGAAGTTCTATACTGTGAGGGTGCTGAGGTGCTGGAACAGGTTGCCCAAAGAACTGTTAAATGCTCCATCCCTGGTAGTGTTCAAGGCCAGGTTGGACAGAGCCTTGGGTGACACGGTCTAGTGTGAGGCATCCCTGCCCATGGCAGGGGGTTGGAACTAGATAATCTTGGGGTCCTTTCCAACACAAACCGTTCCATGACTCTATGACATGACATTGCACTTTGGTTCATAACAGTAGTAGTGCTAACAGAACAATGACTCTCCTTCACTCTCCCCCAAGACTTTAAGTCTTATGCTCTGTAATATTAAAAACAAGTTCCAAAATCTTCATAGGGAAATGAAGGACAGCAGATGAAGACTTCAAAGGATTTCAGCACAAGAAAGTTTTGCTGCACCAACAGTGAAAACCCTTAAAGGAAGAGAGGGCAAGGGGCAAAGGCATTCCTTGAATCCTCTGTAATGAGTAAAAATTCCTTCACAGAACAAAAATTGGCCCTGGAACAATATCTGATGAGAGACAAACACACACTTTAAAGGATTATGCAACTGGCCTACAGAAGGCACCATTAAACAGGGTACAGGAAATGAGTTACTGATTCTGGAGGCTTGGCTGGAATGGGAGTGACAAAATGGTTTTAGTATTTAAGATCCAGTTATGGAGAGCAAAATAGTTAAACAGAACACCACCATAAGTATGAAAAGTAAAAAAAATTTCTTACAAAGCACAGTTCTTTATTAATGTACAGGCAAGTGCAGCTTGGAAAAAAAAACAACCGTTCATCCCAGGAAGAAGCGCTGGCCTTCTAGTTCTGTCTTTATATTAATGAGTCTTACTTTTAACAGGTTTGATTAATGCAAGTCTCTCTTAGTTTTCCCCCTGAAGTCCAGCAATTCCAGTACTCTGCAGTCACTTAATTCATTAAACGCTTCCCACCTGGATGTAGAGTTTTAAAATTCTGAATTTAAATGAAACAGATAAATCCTTCCTAATACAACGAAGCACCTCAACTCTTGAGTACGTGTATTTTTGCAATAAGGTACTACAACAATCCTCTTCTTTTGTGAGAACTTTAAAGACAGTAAAATAATCACAAAGAGATTAGGTACAGAGTTACTATCTAGTGTTTAGTTTACAAAATTGGGGTTTATGTAAACCACTTTCAAAATTACTTTTTTAGCACCAGCAGGTTTTGCAGATAAGACTAAAACCACTAAATAAAACAGTGTAGCTGAAGTTGTTCTTCCAGATAATACACTGTCAGCACTAAAAACATGAACTGACTCACAGTAAGTTTAAACTAGTAAAGGTACTCTCAGACAAATTAATAGTCAAGTGTCTTCAGCCAGATTAGATTTCTGTTTTCTAGGAACTTAGCTTAATAGGTTTCCAAACATGACTAAGGGGAAAGTGGACTTCAGTATCTGGTTAAACCTACTGGTAATAAACAGATACAACTGTTACTCAACATGGTAACAACAGCACCATTTATAAACATCCAAACTGCTGACAGTAATAACAGCACTAGGGTACTGACACACTGTTCCTCACTCCCTCCCTCCTGCTCTTAACAGGGAAGCCAGACAGAGGAAAAGTATGTCCCATGTACCTAACTGAATTATTTCTTCTTCAAATAAATTCCAATGGTGTTATTAAATTTCAAAGCAAAAATAAAAAAAAAAAATTTCTACTTAAATTCTTATCACCACGTGGAAAGACGCTCCCAACCATTATCTACATGCTACATTTTGCCTACTGAAACAGAAAATGAAACTTAAGCTGCTCTCAGGGCAAAAGAGAAGGTGCTGGAGAATTACTGTATTTAACGCCTGGGAGTAAGAATTGCTAACAAATTCAACAAAATAAGTGAAACACTTTTTTTTTTTTTAATCAGGTCTCAGCACAAAACAAAGCCCCCCAGAAGGCATAAAGCAAACCTTTAAAATATCCAGTCCATCTACTTCCAAACAAGTACTTTAGCAATGATCCTCAAAAAATTCACTGAGAAGTACGAAGTGGGTGGACACCTGTATCACACAGTTCAAAATGAGCTGAACTTTTAACAGAAAGCTGGCTGAAGAAAAGTTCCACAGCCCAAAGAATCCATAACACAGCCATCAATGGTCGCACACTGAATCAATTTCCAAAGAAAACAGAAGCAGTGAACAGTCACAGAGGGATGAATCTCTTCTCTACTCTTGCATGCCTAGGCTAACTTGTGCTACATGCTTTGACTATGACCTTGGAAAAGGCTAGCACATGCTATGACAAGGACCTTTCTTAAGACATCTACAGAATAAAAGCGAAGTAAAACTCACACAGATCACAAATGTATCCAGGGCTGGGTGGTGTTTTTTTACCTCCAGAAGTAACGTCCTAAACATTTACCATACACTCATGCTCAACCTTACATTTAGGAAAAATCTAAGGCCCAGACAGGAGCAGTTACCAAGGAGGTGGTGATGGATGAGGAGCACAGGACTCTCCCCAAGCACGCACATGTTCTTTTCACCTCCACAGATCAAGGCCGCAAAAGGATGCTGCGGCCTCGCTGACTAGACACACAGTCATAGCTGAGGGGCAACAAAATACCGTATTGCAGCACTTTGCCTCTCCATCTCCACTTCTGTATCACCACTATTTCTCTTTCCATCCGTCTCCCTGCACTGCTATGCCATCTCTTTCTCCAGAGAGCCTATTTTATTTGTCTACTTCTCCCAGACGTTTCAGCTTTTAATACTCTTCCTTACAGAGCCTCCCCCTCCAAAATTTGGGGTGTAACGCTCTGTTGCCCTTTCAACCTTTTGGTAAGGAGAACACTTCTTTTCCTTGTTCTACAGTCAAAATGCGATTTCTCCTCTACTCTCCCCCATCCCTTAAGTTAGGATCTGTAAACCGTATGTAGAACAGGATCTTTCTTAGCTAGAGCACTCCATCTTACCGCCCAGAGAAGCACTGTACTTCCCGGCTATGCCACAGAAAACCTACTCTTCAAGTGTAGGGAGACCTTCCAGACCAGCCAATGTGCATTTTGGGTCAGATTTTTATCCTACATCGCCCTCTAACGCAGTCACCGGACAGTCGGATAAACAGAACAGTAAGAAAGCGCCGCACTAAGAAGTAATCGCGCCGTGCTCACCCAAGAGCAGCAC